GTCTGGGCTGTTGGGTGGGTGTGGGATTGGTGGGTGATGTTGGGCTGCTCTGAATGCCCCTTTTTCCTCCCACAGCCTCCCCTGTCTACCCAGAAACTGCTGGAGTAGAGGTAAAGGCTCCCCCAAAATTAATCCCCCAAAACCTCCCAACATCCCCCCTCCCCCCGTATTTTTGGAGACCCCCTTTTCTAACCATCTGTTTCATCTCTCCACCACAGGGTCCTAAAGGAGACACCGGCCCCAAAGGAGATAGGGTGGGTATCACCCCCGCCCCAGAGTAGGTATCACCCCTGGGACCCGCGGCCCGCTGGGGCTCACCCTCCTCTTCTCTCCCCCCAGGGACTCCCCGGCCCCCCTGGCAGAGATGGCATCCCTGGACAGCCTGGTCTCCCGGGACCCCCAGGCCCTCCAGGCCCCCCAGGCCTCGGCGGAGTGAGTATGGGGGGTCCTCAGTGATGCAGCCCCCCCGGGGGTCCCACGCCCTGCTCACCCCCCGCTCTCTCCCTCCTCCCACAGAACTTCGCTCCCCAAATGTCCTACGGCTACGATGAGAAAGCCGGGGGGATGGCCGTGCCTGGGCCCATGGTGAGCATGGGGAACACAGGGGGACATGGGGGGGCACAGGGGGCACGGGGGGCACGGGGGGCACGGGGGGTGGAGGGTTAAGCTGGGTGAAGTGCCAGAAGTGCTTCATGTGTTGATGATGCCACTGAGTGGCACGAGATGGGAGGGCTGGGGAGGGATGTTGGACCTGGAGGGGATGGGGACAGGGATGGGGACAGGGATGGGGACAGGGATGGGGACAGGGACGGGGACCAGGATGGGGTGGTGATGGGGTGGCAATGAGGACAGGGATGGGGACAGGGTCAGGGTGGTGATGGGGTGGCAGTGGGGATAGGGATGGAGTGACAGTGGGGGGGGGACATGGTGATGGAGTGTCAAAGCCAACGGTGATGGGGTGGCAATGAGAAACTGGGAATGGGGGGTGATGGGGACAGGGAGGGGAACGGGGTCAGGGTGGTGATGGGGTGGCAATAGAGGCAGAGATGGGGTGGCACTGGGGACAGGGAATGGGGGGTGATGGGAACAGGGATGGGGTGACAATAGGGACAGGGAATGGGTGGGTATAGGGACAAGGATGGGGTCAGGGACAAGCACAGGGAATGGGTGGGGAGAGGGACAGGGATACAGACAGGGACAGGGATGGGGACAGGGATGAGGTGGCAGTGGGGACAAGGAATGGATGGAGATGGGAACAGGGATGGGGACATGGTGTGGGGGTGGCAATGGGCGCAGTGATGGGGTGGCAATAGGGGCAGGGATGGGGTGGCAGTGGGGACAGGGAATGGGGGTGATGGGGACAAGGAGGGACTGGTTTTGGGGCAGTGATGAGTGGAGATGTGCAGAGCAGTGGGATGGTGGTGGGGTGGCAGTGAGGCTCACTGGGTGCAGCAGTGGGGTGGTGATGGGGACAGGGAAGGGTCGGCAATAGGGAGAGGGTGACAAGGCACCCCCTCCTCACTTTTCCATTCTCCCCTAGGGCCCAGCCGGTCCCCGTGGTCTCCCTGGCCCTCCTGGTGCTCCTGTGAGTGTCTCCTCTTCCTCTCCCCTTGATTTTGGGGACAAGAAACCCCCAAGGCCCCTTTGGGTGGGATGGGCTGGGGGATGTCTCATCCTTCCTGACAGCTACGGAAGCACATGGGCACACACGTCCTCGTGCCACCACACTGGAGGACACTTCCACTGTCACTGGGGGCTTCAGGCCCAAACTTCTCACTTTCTAACCCATTTTCTTCTTTTTCCCCCCCTTTTTTCCCCCCAGGGTCCTCAAGGTTTCCAAGGTCCCCCCGGTGAACCTGGAGAGCCTGGTGCTTCTGTGAGTCTTGCCACCTCCTGTTCCAGCTGATGTCCTCTGGGCATGGGGACAATGCTGCTGGTTCCCAGCCCTGGCTGTGGCCACACTGTCCCTGCTTTGGGATCCATGGGAACGGGGCCGGCAGAGCCTGGCTCTGCCCAGGGTGGGTGGTAGGGTGACAGGGGACAGCTGTCACCCACAGCATCCTCACTGCTGCCCTGCATCTCTCCTAGGGTCCCATGGGTCCCCGTGGTCCCGCTGGCCCCCCTGGCAAGAACGGAGATGACGTAAGTGGCCTGTCCATGGGGTGCCCCCTCAGTCTGGGGCCTGATGGCCCTGACAACCCCTCCAGGTGAGCAGGAGCTGCCTGGCTTGGGGACATGCTACCAACCTGGTGTCCTTCTCCCTAGGGTGAAGCTGGAAAACCCGGCCGCCCCGGAGAGCGTGGTCCCCCCGGCCCCCAGGTGAGGTGGCCCCTCAGGACACAGGGACACAGGAGGGGACACCCCTGCTGTGCTCTGCTGGTGACACCAGCTGTCTGTCCCCTTGGGGACAGGGGTAATGGGGTGCAGGGACAGCCCCCACAACATTTCCATGACCACTTCCCCTTTCCTTCTAGGGTGCCCGTGGTCTCCCAGGCACTGCTGGCCTGCCAGGCATGAAGGGACACAGAGTGAGTCCCCCCTCCAGTGCTTGTGAGATTTAGGGGATGTGGGACCCCAACATCACCAAAGATCCCTTCCTGACCCCCCACCCCTTCTCTCTCTTGCCACCCAGGGCTTCAGTGGTCTGGATGGTGCCAAGGGTGAGCCTGGACCTGCTGGCCCCAAGGTGAGGAGTGGTGGCAGTGTCACCCCTGTCCTTGGAATGTCCTCGCTGTTCCCTCCTCCCTCCAGAGCAAGTCCCTCATGTTGTCCTTCCCCCCTCCCAGGGTGAGCCCGGCAGCCCTGGAGAGAACGGTGCTCCCGGGCAGATGGTGAGTGCTGGACCCCTGAGGGGCATGGTGGGGGGGTATGGGCAAGAGGGGATGGGGATGGGGGTCAAGACCTGATGGGGAACCAGCTCATCCTCAGGGATGCTTTCCCAGGGATTCATCAGGGTGGGAGGGGGATTAACCCCTTGGAAATGTCACTGTGGGCAGGAGTGGGGAGAGACAGGGGGCACAGGGATAGGAGGAGGCTCAGAAAGAGGTAAGTGCCCACCTAGGTGACCCAAACATGTCCTAAACATGTCCTGTCCCCTCCCAAGGGTCCTCGTGGTCTTCCTGGAGAGAGAGGCCGTCCTGGTCCATCTGGCCCTGCTGTGAGTATTTGATCTGGGCAGGGCTGAGACCCCCTGCCCGGGGTTTGGGGGGGCTGGGGGTCACCTCTCCAACCTGTGGGCATCACTCATGGATGTGTCCTCTCCCACAGGGTGCTCGTGGCAATGACGGTGCTCCTGGTGCTGCCGGTCCCCCCGTAAGTAACCTCAAACCCCAAACCCATCCACCCTCCTCCAGAACCTGGAATAACCTCCAGCTTCTGCAGAGAGAGATCCCATCCCAGCTCCACCACGAATGGGAAATCCCGGATGGCAGCCAGAGCTCTGCTGCCTAGAAATCCCACCAGTGCCAGGTGTGGGAGGTGGGATCCCTCTTCTGACACGCAGCCTCTCTCCCATTTAGGGTCCAACTGGTCCTGCTGGTCCCCCCGGCTTCCCCGGTGCTGCTGGTGCTAAGGTAGGACCTGCCTGACCATCTCCTGGGCTGGGAGAAACTGGTGGGAACTGGGAGAGTGGGATGGGGAAGAGGACTGAGCATGGCATGGGTTCCCCAGCCCAAAATGCCGTGAGCTAACCACTGCTTGGGAAAGATGGGGATGTCCCCAGACAAGTCCCGTGGGCATCTCTCCTGGCTTTGCCTCCATGAGGAAGGAGCTGCAGATGGAGGGGAGGTCATCCATGTTGGGGATCAGGGAAACAAACCCTCATGCTCATGGTTCTTCCTCCCTCCTCTTCCTCCCCAGGGTGAAACTGGTCCCCAGGGAGCTCGTGGCAGTGAAGGTCCCCAGGGTGCCCGTGGTGAGCCCGGTCCCCCCGGCCCTGCTGGCGCTGCTGGTCCTGCTGTAGGTGACATCTGATGGCTCCTTGTCCTTTGGCCTCACATCTTGCCAGCCCCGCCATAACCCTCCTCTTCCTCTTTCTCTCCACAGGGCAATCCTGGTGCTGATGGTCAACCTGGTGCCAAGGGTGCAACTGTGAGTGTCCCTCACTTCCCCCTCCAGCTCCAGAATGAAGGGCTGTGCTGCTTCCTCACACCCTCCTCTGCCTCTTCCAGGGTGCTCCTGGCATTGCTGGCGCTCCCGGCTTCCCCGGTGCCCGTGGTCCCTCCGGACCTCAGGGTCCCAGTGGTGCCCCCGGTCCCAAGGGTAACGCTGTGAGTATCCCTGGACACCTCCATCTTCTTCTTTCTGGGATTGGATCCCCAGCAAGCTGATGTCCTACCTGGAGGTGCCTCCTCTGGTGTCCTCTGGTCCCTGTCAGGGCAGGGTGGTGCTGGGTGGTGACAGATGCTGAGCACCCTCCTGCCTCTGAGGGGTGATCAGGATGTGGCTCAGGTCTCCCTCTGCTCCTCAATCTGGTGTTAAACGGCTTTTCCCTCTTCTCTCCATCCACTTCAAGGGTGAGCCCGGTGCTCCAGGCAACAAGGGTGACACTGGTGCCAAAGGCGAACCCGTAAGTGATTCCCCAATGTCACCTTGGGGTCTCGGTCCCTCTTGGCCCCAGCACATCCTGTGGGTGCTCATCCCTTCGTCTCTTCCCCCAGGGTCCCGCTGGTGTCCAAGGTCCCCCCGGCCCTGCTGGTGAGGAAGGCAAGAGAGGAGCTCGTGGTGAGCCCGGCCCCGCTGGGCTTCCCGGCCCCGCTGGCGAACGTGTGAGTAGGAGCATCCCTGTCCCCTCCCTGCCATGTCCCTGTCCCCATTTCCGTCCCCGTGCTGTCCAGCAGCTGAACCTTTGCGCGTGCTCGAGGACACCGTGGTGACATCCCCAGCCCCTCCTCAGGCTACTCCCACCAGTGGCCATGTCCCACACCGGCACACCTTTCCCCTGCACCCCCAAGCCCCCCGAGGCCACCCCGTATCCCCACGCTGACCCCTCTGGTGTCCCTCGCAGGGTGCTCCCGGCAGCCGCGGTTTCCCTGGCGCTGATGGCATCGCTGGTCCCAAGGTGGGTGCCCGTGTCTGTTTGGATGAGAAAGTCGCGTCATCGGGGCTATGGGGACGCTGAGCATTGTCACCTGTCCCAAACAGTGGCCAGACCGGCTCTGTGCCGCTGCCACCTCTGGTGACACTGCTCCTGCCCTGCCCCCGGGTGCTGTCCCGCAGTCAGAGTAACCCCTGTCCCCTCTCCCACCCTTCCCAGGGTCCCCCCGGCGAGCGTGGCTCCCCCGGCCCCGTCGGCCCCAAAGGATCTCCTGGTGAAGCTGGACGCCCCGGGGAACCCGGCCTCCCCGGTGCCAAGGTGAGTGTGGCAGGGTGGCGGGCACGGTGACACGGTGGCAGCGGCAGCGACGAGCCACGTTGATGGATGCTGGCTGTCACACTCCCCGTGCCAATGGAGAAGCTGCTTTCCAGGACGCTCCCGTTCTCTGGAGCATCTCCTGGGATACCTGAGCTCCTGACCCACTTCCCATTCCCTTGCAGGGTCTGACTGGAAGCCCCGGGAGCCCCGGTCCCGACGGCAAGACCGGCCCCCCTGTAAGTTGTCCCCGCTGGCCCCACTGATGGCCCCTCCTCCCTTGGCTCACCGCGGGCTCAGCTGACGGGGCTCTGGCTCCCCCCATAACAGGGTCCCGCTGGTCAAGACGGTCGCCCCGGCCCCCCCGGCCCCCCCGGCGCCAGAGGTCAAGCCGGTGTGATGGGATTCCCTGGTCCCAAAGGTGCTGCGGTGAGTGTGACACACCCCCCTCCCCCGGGGGGCTGCCAGGGTGATGCTGCACCCTGGTCTGTGAGGGATCCCACCCAACGACCACTGCCACCACCGGGGACGGTGGCTGTGCACGGGCAGGTGGCTCAGGGGACCCGTCCTGTCCCCCTCCCGGTGTCATCACAGGTCTCATCCTGCTCTCTTTTTAGGGTGAGCCCGGCAAACCTGGCGAGAGAGGCGCTCCCGGTCCCCCCGGTGCCGTGGTGAGTATTTGATGGAGCACAAACGGTCTGGTGGGGGCTCGGCAGGGAGGGTCACCCCTGTGTGAGGTGACAGGGGGCATCACCCCAGGATGGGGTGGCAGGGAGAGTCACCCCGGTGTGGGGTGGCAGGGATGGGGTGTGAGATGGCTGAGCGGTGCCAGGGAAAGCCCCAAGGACGAGGAGGGCAGTGGGATGAGGTGTTTGGGACTGCATCCCGGTGGCTACCGGCAGCTTTGGAGTGGGGACAGCAGGGAGGTGACGTGGCCGTGGGCAGCTCGCCCCGCGGTGTCTCCCGTCCTTCGAAGGACGCCGTGTGGCCACACCCTTGTTTTGGGGAGGCGGCGGGGGGGGGACGACAGACGGGACTCACAGAGATCTGCGGGGGCTGCAGGTCGGGGCCGTGCTCTGAGCACCCTCTTATCCCTCTTCCTCAGGGTGCTGCTGGCAAAGACGGTGAAGTTGGTGCCCAAGGTCCTCCCGGCCCCACTGTGAGTATCCCCCAGCCCATGGCCACCCACGGCCATGCTCGGCCACCGAAGAAGGGGCTCAGAAGCTGAGCCTCAATGCTTGTCCTGCCTCCCCCAGGGTCCCGCTGGAGAAAGAGGTGAACAAGGTCCTGCTGGTGCTCCTGGCTTCCAGGTGAGGGGTGTCCCCTTCCGTGGTGAGGGGATAAACCACCCAGGGTGGGGGTGATGTTACCCTTTCCCTCGTCCTCTCTGGTCTCCCACCTCCCTGGTGGTTCATTGTTCCTCTTCTTCCTCCCCAGGGTCTGCCCGGCCCCGCTGGCCCCCCCGGAGAGGCTGGCAAGCCTGGTGAGCAGGTGAGTGTGTGGGCGACTTGAGACCCTCCCTGTCCCCTTCCCATGTCCCCTCTCCCAGCTGTGGCTGGGGCATGTTGATGGGGGGTCCTCCCAGTGCCCCCCCAGGTGATGTGCTCCACACAGTGGGGGAGCAGTGGGGATCCCAGCCCTGCCCCAGGGATTGAGAGACCCCTGGGGGCACCCTGTGGACCCCTGTGGACCCCTCTGCCCGTCCCCAGTTCCTCCTCTGACTCCACACCCTCTCCTTCCCACACAGGGTGTCCCCGGAGATGTCGGTGCCCCCGGCCCTGCGGGTGCCAGGGTAAGTTGAACTCCGTGGACTCCCCATCGGTTCTTGGCACCCCAAAGTGCCTGACATCCCCCTGATGGCCTCGGCCCTTCTCCTGCCTCCCCCCTCCAGGGTGAGAGAGGTTTCCCTGGTGAACGTGGTGTCCAAGGCCCCCCCGGTCCCCAAGGTCCTCGTGGTGCTAACGGTGCTCCCGGTAATGATGGTGCTAAGGTAGGTGCCAGCTTGGGAATGTCGGGGTGGTGGGTGACTGTCCCCAGCTTTTGAGTGCAGCTGTAAAGGGCGATGGGTTTGGCTTTGCTTCTTTGGCTGGGGCTGGAGCCAGGAGGGTTTTGCTGTGCTGGGGTCTTGCTAATCCCTCTTTTCTGTCTCTCTTTCCCAGGGTGATGCTGGTGCTCCCGGAGCCCCCGGAAGCCAAGGGCCCCCCGGTCTGCAGGGTATGCCTGGAGAACGTGGTGCTGCCGGCCTGCCAGGTGCCAAGGGTGACAGGGTACGTGTCCCCAAACACCTGTGCCCCCCTCATTGTCCCCTGGGGACTGGATGCGTCCCCCAGAACCCTCACGTCCCCACTGTTCCTCTGCTCCCCACCACTTCTGTGCCCCCCTCATCATTCTCTTGGGGCTGGATGTGCCCCCCAGAGCTCCAGTGTCCCCACTGCTCCTCTGCTCCCCACCACCCCTGTGCTCCATCATAGTCCCATCAGGGCTGGATAAGTCCCCAAAACCCCAATGTCCCCATTACTCCTCTGCTCCCCACTATTCCTGTGCTCCCCTCATCAACTCCTTGGGGCTGGATGTGCCCCCAAAACCTTGATGTCCCCCTTGGTCACCTGCTCCCCACCACCCCTGTGCCCCCTCATCATTGTCCCCTCAGGGCTGGATGTGCCCCCAGGCCAAGGCTGGGGGGAAGCAGCGCCCTGGGGAAGGGGTGCTCAGTGTCACCTCTGTCCTCATCCGAGCGTGGCCCTTGGGAACAGTCTCTCACTGAGACCCCAGCTCTGGTGAGGAGGAGGAGGATGGTCCCAGCCTCTCCCAGGGACGATGAAGAACCAGGAATGGCTCAGTGCACCCAAGAAAGAGGGAAGAGGGGGCGAGCCCCTGGAAGGGACCTCCCCGGTAACCCACAATCCTCTTCCTCCCCAGGGTGACCCCGGTCCCAAAGGTGCTGACGGCGCTCCTGGCAAAGACGGTCTCCGAGGTCTGACCGGTCCCATCGGCCCCCCCGGCCCCGCTGGTGCTCCCGGTGACAAGGTAGGGACGTCCCCCGGGGACGGATGTGTCCAGCACATGCTGCCACCTCCTCTCCGCAGCCCTGACCTCCTTTTTTTCCGATTGTCCTCCCCTTTTCCAGGGAGAAGCTGGTCCCCCCGGTCCTGCTGGTCCCACTGGTGCCCGTGGGGCTCCCGTAAGTGTCCCCCCCACCCTGAGTGATGGCCCTGCTGTTTGGTCGCCCCTTGGTGGCCCTGGTGGCCGTCCCCTGCTCGTCTGACTCCGTTCCCTCCCGTCTCTCCCAGGGTGACCGCGGCGAGCCCGGCCCTCCCGGTCCTGCTGGATTTGCTGGCCCCCCTGTAAGTGCAACAGCCTCTCTCCTCCCTGCCTGAGGGTCTGATCCTGCCCCTGCCGGGGTGATGCTGAGCCCCCCGAATCCACCCCTCTCCCTCTCCCACAGGGTGCCGATGGCCAGCCTGGTGCTAAAGGTGAAACTGGGGATGCTGGAGCCAAGGGTGATGCAGGTCCCCCCGGCCCTGCTGGCCCCACTGGTGCTCCTGGACCTGCTGTAAGTTCTTCCAACCCACCCCACACCCCCTTGGGGTCCAGTCCCATGGCACAGCTCACCCCTCACCTCCTCCTCTTCCTCCTCTTCCTCCCCCACAGGGTGCTGTTGGTGCTCCTGGTCCCAAAGGTGCTCGCGGAAGCGCTGGACCCCCTGTAAGTACCAGTCTTGTGGGGATGGGGGGTTTTGGGGACCCCCCCTGGGGTGTGAACACTCCCCACTGTGTCTCGCTCTGCTGCCCCAACACCGTGGGGCACCTCCATTCCTGCAACCCCAAAACTGCCTGGAACATGGCATCGATGTGGGGTGGCTTCATCCCAGGAGGGGGAAGAGCAGAGGGGAAAAGGGGGAGGGGTTGCTTTTATGCTCACAAAATCAGCTCTCCAGATGGATCCTGCCCTCTTGACCACCAGCCAAGGGGTTCCCCCCCGCCCCCCGTGGCTCCCAGCCAGGGGACAGTCCCCTGGCCCTGTGACACCTGGATCCCTCCCCGCTGACTCCAGCTTTTCTCCCTTCCAGGGTGCTACTGGTTTCCCTGGTGCTGCTGGACGAGTTGGACCCCCCGGCCCCTCTGTGAGTACCCCCAGGGGGTGAGAGGTGTGGGGGCCAGGAGGGTGCCTGTGACGGGGAACACGGGAGGTGCTGGGCACCCATCCAGGCTGCTCCACGTGGCCTCCCTGTCCCATCTGGCACCGGGATACCCCTGGCCGCCCTTCAGCTGGCAGCCGGGGGGGTCCCGGCCTGCTGCCTGATGGCATCGCCTCCCCTCCCGCCCAGGGGAACATCGGCCTCCCCGGCCCCCCCGGCCCCAGCGGGAAGGAAGGTGGCAAAGGACCCCGTGGTGAGACTGGCCCCGCTGGCCGCCCCGGCGAGCCGGGACCCGCCGGCCCCCCCGGCCCCCCCGGCGAGAAGGGCTCTCCTGGCGCTGATGGCCCCATTGTAAGTCAACCCTCCGGTCAGACCCCCTGTGCCAGTCACCCCCCCCAGCTGTCCCCTCCGCAGGGAGGGTGGACACCACCGCTGCCACCACCCTGAGGCGCTGCTTGTCCCCGCAGGGCGCTCCCGGCACTCCCGGACCCCAAGGTATCGCCGGCCAGCGCGGTGTCGTTGGTCTCCCCGGACAGAGAGGCGAGAGAGGCTTCCCTGGGCTGCCCGGCCCCTCTGTGAGTACCAGAGGGATCCCCAGGAACAGACAGCGCTGTGACCCCCGCCAGGGTCTGGCTCACCCCGTGGCTGGGGGTGGGATGTTCAGCCGTGTCTGACACCCCCTGTTCCCTCCCCTGCACAGGGTGAACCCGGCAAACAAGGTCCCTCCGGTTCCCCCGGTGAGCGCGGCCCTCCCGGCCCCATGGGCCCCCCCGGCCTGGCTGGACCCCCCGGAGAAGCTGGACGTGAGGTGGGTGGCCGTGGGCATCCATCGGTGTTTGGTGGCACCGACGCCCCCGTGTGTCAGCGTTGGGCTCGTTGTGCTGAGGACTTGCCAGCTCGTGGCACTGGTGGATGCTGCCATGGTTGGTGCATGGAGAGGCCCGTGTTGAGCTGAGCAGTGATCCCTCTTCACCCCCCACCATCCCTAACGAGGGTCTTTCCTCCTCCACAGGGTGCTCCTGGTGCTGAAGGTGCCCCCGGCCGTGATGGTGCTGCTGGTCCCAAGGTGAGTGGGCTGTGAGGGGGGCACAGTAGAGGGTGATAGGGTTGTGCTGGCCCACACTGACCTCTCCTCTTCCTCCTCTTCCTCCTCTTCCTCCTCTTCCTCCTCTTCCTCTTCCTCCTCACAGGGTGACCGTGGTGAGACTGGCCCTGCCGGTCCCCCTGGTGCTCCCGGTGCCCCCGGTGCCCCTGGCCCTGTCGGTCCTGCTGGCAAGAACGGAGATCGTGGTGAGACTGTAAGTGCTGCTCTGCCCAGAGCCCCCCTTGTACCCCTCCCTGGCCGAGGGACACTCCAAGAGGGATCTTATTCTGGGGGTCTGGACTCAGGCTCAGCTCTTGCCGCTGAAAGGGGCTTCCCCAGGATGCCAGGGGTGCCACCACCCTTCTTAGGGTGATGCCAGGGGTGCCATCACCCTTCTCAGGGTGATGCCAGGGGTGCCACCACCCTTCTTAGGGTGATGCCAGGGGTGCCACCACCCTTCTTAGGGTGATGCTAGGGGTCTCACCACCCTGCAAAGGGTGGTGCCAGGGGTCCCACCATTCCTCTTAGGGTGATGCCACAGATCTCACCACCCTGCAAAGAGTGAAGCCAGGGGTGCCACCACCCTGCTCAGGATGAAGTCAGAGGTCCCACCACCCCACTCAGAGTGATGCTGCCCCAAGCCAGTGGCAGTGGAAGGTGGAGGATGCTCTAACCTGTCCCATTCTCTCCCGTCTCAGGGTCCCCAAGGTCCTGCTGGCCCTCCTGGTCCTGCTGGTGCTCGTGGTCCTGCTGTAAGTTGATGTTCTCCTCCCTCCTCCTCGGTGTCTCTGTGTCCCCACGGGTGTGGGGGCAGTGGTTGGTCTGGACCTCACTCAACACGTCTTCCTCCTCCTCCTCTTCCTCCTCCAGGGCCCACAAGGTCCCCGTGGTGACAAAGGTGAAGCTGGTGAACAGGGTGACAGAGGCATGAAGGGTCACAGAGGCTTCTCCGGTCTTCAGGGCCCACCTGGTCCTCCTGTAAGTCCCGTGGGGTGACGGTGGCTCCGGGTGCTGCCCCATGTCCTGGAGGCAGCACGAGATGCTGATGGCACCTCTTCCTCTTCTTCCTTGCTTGGCACAGGGCTCTCCTGGTGAACAAGGTCCTTCTGGTGCTTCTGGTCCTGCCGGTCCACGAGTAAGTCCCTGGATGAGCCGCGATATCCAGTATCCCAAGAGGGAACAGGAGTCCTCACCACCATCGGGCTCCTCGTGGGGCTGTGGGTCAGGGCTTGAGGGGACGACTCTGCCCGGGCAGGACAGCCACGCTCACCCTTTCTCCCATCCCACACAGGGTCCTCCTGGCTCCGCTGGTGCTGCTGGCAAAGATGGTCTCAACGGGCTGCCCGGCCCCATCGGCCCCCCTGGCCCCCGCGGGCGCACCGGCGACGTTGGCCCCGTCGTACGTACCGGCCCCTCTGCCGCCCACCCAGCACTGCCTCCTTCATCATCTGCCTGCTCACCGTCCTCCTCCTCCTCTCCTCCCGCAGGGTCCCCCCGGCCCACCCGGCCCCCCTGGTCCTCCCGGCCCCCCCAGTGGTGGATTCGACTTCAGCTTCCTGCCCCAGCCGCCCCAGGAGAAGGCCCACGATGGTGGGCGCTACTACAGGGCTGACGATGCCAACGTGATGCGTGACCGCGACCTGGAGGTCGACACCACCCTCAAGAGCCTGAGCCAACAGATCGAGAACATCCGCAGCCCCGAGGGCACTCGCAAGAACCCTGCCCGGACCTGCCGCGACCTGAAGATGTGCCATGGCGACTGGAAGAGCGGTCAGTGTCCCATGCCCCTCTGTGCCCTCACCTCCATCCCTCTGTCCCCTCTACCTGCTCCTCACCTCCGGCCTTCTTCCATCCCCATGGTGTCCATCCCCATGGTGTCCATCCTGTCTCTCATGGCTGCTCTCACCTCCATCCTCTGTCCCTCCATTTCCTGTTTGCTCCTCACCTCCTTCCTCTTCTCCTCCTTGTGGCTGTTGCCCAACTCCACGATCCACTCCTGAGCTTCCTCCTACCTGCTCCTCATCTCCCTCCTCCACCTCTCACAGCTGCTCCTCACCTCCCTCCTTCATCTCTTCATTCTCAAGCTCTCATATCCTTCATCTTTCCATCTCACATCCCTCAACTATCCCTCCATCCTCTGTTCCTGCCACTTGCTCCACCTCCACCTTCATCATCTATGGCTGTTCCTCACTGTCATCCTTCATCCCTCCTGACTGCTCCTCACCTCCATCCCTCTGGCTGCTCCTCACCTGATCCCTCCTAGCTGCTCCTCTGTTCCTTCCTGGCTGCTCCTCCCCTTTTTTTCCCTGGGCTGCTCCTCTCTTCCATCCCTCTTGTCTGCTCCACACCTCCATCCCCCACCCTGACCCCCCTCCCTTCATCCCACAGGCGAATACTGGATCGACCCCAACCAAGGCTGCAACCTGGACGCCATCAAGGTCTACTGCAACATGGAAACGGGCGAGACGTGCGTCTACCCGACCCAGGCCACCATCGCCCAGAAGAACTGGTACCTCAGCAAGAACCCCAAGGAGAAGAAGCACGTCTGGTTCGGCGAGACGATGAGCGACGGCTTCCAGGTGAGCACGGGGGCCATGAGGTCAGGGGCCAGCCAGGCTGGGGGACCTCCACGGTGACCGATTCCTCTTCTCCCACAGTTTGAGTACGGTGGTGAGGGCTCCAACCCCGCCGACGTCGCCATCCAACTGACCTTCCTGCGCCTCATGTCCACCGAGGCCTCCCAAAACATCACTTACCACTGCAAGAACAGCGTCGCCTACATGGACCAGGACACCGGCAACCTGAAGAAGGCTCTTCTCCTCCAAGGCGCCAACGAGATCGAGATCAGGGCTGAAGGCAACAGCCGCTTCACCTACGGCGTCACTGAGGACGGCTGCACGGTGGGTGCTCGGGGACGGGGGGTCCTGGCGGGGCGGTGGGACGTCCTTTGGGGATGGGGATGACCGTGGTGTCCCCACAGAGTCACACCGGCGCGTGGGGCAAGACAGTCATCGAGTACAAGACGACGAAGACGTCTCGCCTTCCCATCATTGATTTGGCTCCTATGGATGTCGGCGCTCCAGACCAGGAATTCGGCGTTAACATCGGCCCAGTCTGCTTCTTGTAAACCGGACACCCTCCCCCCCGAAAGCGTGACAGGAGAGAGTAATAATAATGATAATAATAATAAAAAAAAGAAAAAAAAAACAGCCAAAAAAAAAAGGAGAAAATTTCACATGGACTTGAATTTGTGTCGGTTTTCTATCCAGCGTCTCTAAAAGAAAGAAAAGAGAAAAACCTAAAAATCCCTCCCCCCACAAAAAAAAGCATTAAACCAAAAAAAAAAAAAAAAGACAACACCAAAAAAAAAACGAAATAAAAATAAATTACTTTTTCAAACAAAATCACCAGGAAGTGGGTTCGCTTGCTTGCCCCCCACCCCATTCCTCAGCCCCGGAGATGGAGCAGCTCAACTCACCGAAAATCCCTGAGATCCCCCTGGGACTGGTCGACCCCCCACCCTCCAAACCCCCCATTTCCCCACCAGCCCCTTTGCTTTTTGCATCTCATTCAAATATTATTTTTTTTGCTGCCAGGAAGATGTTTAATTCTTGGTTATAATTTGCTTTTTCTCCTTGTTTTCCCTCTCTCTCCCCTCCTCTCCTTTTGAGTTTTTTAATTCGGGTACCAGCCTTTTGAGTTCTTGCCATTTCTTATTATGAATCTTTGGGTTTTATTATGAATTCTTTTTTTAATTTTATTTTTTCATTCAGGCAGCAAAACCAATTCATTCTCAAGCACACGAGGGGAGCCCCTGGCGCCGAGCAGACCTGACCCTCCGCTGCATCCCCCCTTTCCGGATGGCTACCTCACCACTTTCGGGGTGTTTGATTGTCTTTTTTAGTTTTAATTTTGGGGTTCTGTTTTGTTTTGTTTTTTAGCTTCGTTTGGAGTTTTTCAGCCGTGCCGGGACTTTCCTGCCAGGTTCAGAGCAAAGGTGCTAATTTTTCCCTATTATCCCCCTCCCCCCAGACCTTTCTCTTTTGTTGCTCTGTGGATCTTTTATTTCCATTTTCTTTTGGAGGTTTCTTTCCCTCAGGATTTTTATCCTGGTTTTGGGTTGGTTTTGGTTTTGTTTTTTTTTTTTTGGTTGGTTGGTTTTGTTTGTTTGTTTGTTTTATTATTATTTTTAGATATTCTCTTTAATTTTGGCCCCGGAACACCCAAACCCGGGACCTCCTGGTGCTACAACCTCCAAAGACACATCTCAGCTGAATCTATTTTAATTTCCCTCTATTTTCTGCTTTATTTCCTCCTTTCTTTGCTGCTCAGTTCCACTTGGGAATTTCCTAAAGGTGCTATCCTCCCCACGCCCCCCCCCTTTCCATCATCCCAAGAGCAAATCCCAGAGCAAACACAAAGCAGAGCCAAGAAATTAAAAGGGATTAAAAAAGAAAAAAGGAATAAATGAATTTTCCAGGTTAAGCAGGTGAATCTTCAGCTCTGCTGTCAACTTCCAGCAGCTTTTCCTCCATCCATCCATCCATCCATCCATCCATTCATCCATCCATCCATCCATCCATCCATCCATCCCTCTCCATCCCTGCATCCCCCCCAGGCACAGAGGGGCACGAACCCACTCCCTCTTGCCGGGCCCATCTCCCGGTGGATACTCCGGGTTTTTCCCGGAGTTTGTACCTAGTTTGTATAATGTATAATAATAATAATAATAATAATAATTATAATTATAATAATAATTTTGAGTGGTTTGGGGGTTTTCTTTTTTTTTTTTTAAAGAAAAAGAAATGATTTTTTTTTTCTTGACTGCTGAAATAAAGCATGTGAAATGATCCAACAAACCTCGGGGTGCTCTTCCACGCCGCCTCTCGCTCTCAGGGGGGCTCGGGAGGGGGTCCAGGACGGGTGGTGGGGTGGCCTTGGGAGCTCCTTGTCCTCGATCCCGCTCTCATCCCGGTTGATCCCACTCTGCTCCCGCCGAGCTTCTGCACTCCGCTCCTGCCCATCCTCCCAGCCCCCCAGCCCTCCTCCTCCTCCTCTTCCAGCCCCCCTGGGATGAGGGGGGAGAGGAAGGAAGGGGGAACCCACCCCCCCGGTAGGAGGGTTGGTCTGGGTTTAGTGGGGCAGAGCTGCTGGGCACCCGCAGTGGAGGGAATTTGAGGGGGTGTGTGTCCCCTCCCCAAATGGAGGGAGAAATGGGGATGGTGGATCAAGGGGAGGAAGGGTTCGGGGGCAGCTGGTGCCAAGGTGGGGGACACTGGGGGACTCTCAGCTCAGGGCGAGCCCCCAGAAGGAATTGGGGAGTGGAGTGGGCACAGGGAGACACCCCAAAATTGTGGCAGGGGGGTGGGCAAACAAAAGCCGTGCAAGAGGGGGGGGTGGGTGAGTGTGGGGGTGCTCTGCTATGGGGGTACCCCGGCGTGGGGGTGCCTCAGTGTGTGGGTACCCTAGAGCATGTGTGCCCTGGTGTGGGGGGGTCCCAGTGTGTTTGTGCCCCACAACAAGCCCCCCCTGCTCCCCTGGGTGCCCCACACATCCCAGCCCCATTCACACACCCCATACCCCTCATTCACGCCAAGGGACCAGCAGCACCCCCACGTGTGCCCAGGGAGCAGGTTGTACCCACCCAGTGCCCCCCTCCCCATGGTGGTGGGCACAAGCAGGACCCCCACAGCCCGGGGGGGGCTGCTCTGGCCGCGGGACAAGCCCTCAATGCTGCCATTCTCCAGCCTGTCAATGGGTCCCCTTGTTCCTCCCGGGCCCCCATGTTTTCCTAACCCCCACCCTGGCGCCTGCCCCGTGCAAGGGAGGGGGGGCTGCGGTGAAAGAGGCTCTTTCTTTGGAGGGGCTGGGCTGGGGGACCCCCTGGGGGGTCGGGGAGGGGTTAGGGGGGTGCTGAGCGGGACGCTGAGTGGAATATCCAGGTCTACGCAGTGCGGACGGAGGATTTGGGAGCTCCAGGAGAGATCCTGCTGGACACAAACACCCAGGTGAGCGGGGGGGGGCATTGGGGTGCCATCATGGGTCCCAGGGACTGTGTCCCCCCCCTTGTGCCTATTCCCATCCTCTTCCTGCTCCCCTTTCCCTCTACAAGGCTGGGGAATGCACAGAGTCATCCCAACCCTTATGGAGGTTGCAAGCCTTTCATGGGGGATCATGGCTGGAACAGGGTGGGCACTCCAAAACCTGCTCTGCAAATAAAGCAGAAAAGCCTCATTTCATCACTCAATGGTCAATTTATCCTCCAAAACTCACCCCAAAGAGGAAACATCCTAAAATCCTCCAGGCAACAGCCCGGCAGCGGGCAGAACTCAGTCAGAAGGGCGACCACCCATCTGGCTGAACTCTGCCTGGGGGGGCTTCTGTACCCCCAAAAACATCAGGACACCCCTTTCCCATCCCTGGGATTGTCTCCCTCCCCCTGGCACACCCCTGGGTGCCCCTCACTGAGGGAGGAGGGGCACACGGGCCCCATCCCGGGGGCTGGGCATGGGGTTGATGCGCTGGCCCGTGCGGACGTTGAACATGGGCAGTGTGGAAAGGGGCCGGGGCACATCCCGGATCACATCCCGGCTCCCGGCCATGTGCCGCAGCTCCTCCGTGTCCCCGTGGATGGTGGTGTGGTGGACCAGCTGGATGCTGAGAGGGGAAGGAGAATGGGATGAGGCACCCCATGTTTTCACCCATGTCCCCCTGGGGAGGGGGTTGGTGCCCCATTATTAGGGTTTGTCTCCCCTGCCGTTGGGGTCTGCTCACTCATCATTTGGGCTTGTCCCCCATCATTAGGGTGTACAGCTCATCACTGGGGTCTGCCCATCCTTCACCGGGGTCTGAATGTCTCACCATTGGGTTCTACCCACTCACCATTGGGGTCTACCCCCCAAAATTGGGTCTGCACTCCATAATTAGGGTCTGACCCCCATCACCAGGAATTGACCCCCATCATTTGGGTTTGCCCTCCTGTTATTGGGGTCTGTATGCCATCATTGGGGTCTGCACCTCATCACTGGGGTCTGCCCACCCTTCATTGGGGTCTGCACCCCAGCACAGGGTTCTACCCACCCATCACGGGAGTCTGCCCACACATCTTTGGGGTCTGGACCCATCACCAGGGTGTGCCCCCATCCTCGGGGTCTGCCCCCCATCCTTGGGTCTGCCCCCATGCCCAGGGTACCTCCTGGCTGCTGTTGGTTCCACCCGAGGCTACTGGAGAAGTAAAGCAGCTCTTGTGCTCCAACCCGTGTCTCAGGGGGGTTACTGGGGGGTGCTGAGGGGTGGGGAGGGGAGGAGGAGGGCTGGGGGGACCTTTTGGGCTGGGGGGATCCTTTAAGCTCTGCCACCTCCGGGACACCCCCCAAACCGTTCCCTGTCCCTCTCTCCTGTTGTCCCATCCCCATGACAAAGCCCCCTGAAGCAGCCCTCCCAGTGCAGCCCCCCCAGCACCCCCACAGCTCGGTCTGGGGTGTCAGGGCTTACTCAGATGTCTGCAAGTCCCGTTTTTGCCTACAAAGTAGGTGAAAAAGGGAAAAAAATTATAATTATGTTGAGAAGGGCTCTCACCATCCCCAGCTTGTCCTGGGGCCACAATGGCCGGGGAAGGGGCACCCAACCTGGGGTAGGGGAGACACCCCGACTGGGGTAGGGGAGACCCGCACCCTGAGCGTGCCCCCCGACTCACACTCCCTCCCTGCGGCAGCACATGAGGTGGCCCAGGAGCAGACAGAGCAGCGCAGCCACCACCAGTGGCACCAGCAGCGTCACCAGGAACCCGGGCAGCAGGTCCTGGGGGGGCACCTCGGTGGGGGGCTGGAAATCCCCATCCTCCTCCAGCACCCCGGACCCCCAAACTGGCCCAGGAGTCGTGGGGCTGGGCCAGACCCGCAGCTGCAACGGGGTTGGGGGTGGTTAGGAGGGGTGGGGGGTCCCCACGGGGGGTGTTGTGAGAGGTGGGGGGACACGTGGGTCTCACCAGGGTGAGGTTGCACCAGCGGATGGAGAAGTGGGGGGCAAAGGTGTCGTAGCAGGAGGCGAGGGGCTGCTGGCCCAGGCTGCAGCGGAAGCGGCTCTGGGGGGACACGGCCGACTCCAGGCATGGGGAGAAGGGGCTGTGGGAGCCCACCTTCACGTACACCCTGCAGTGAAGATAGGCCCCCAAAACCCACCCACGGTGAGAAGGGGCCATGGGAACCTGCCTTTATGTGCACCTTGTGGTGGAGGTAGCCCCCCAAAACCCACCCATGGGGAGAAGGGGCCACGGGAAACTACCCTCACGTACACCCTAAGGCAGCTTCAGGTGAGCCCCCAAAACCACATTGAGAAGACCCCGTGGGAACCCACCATCACGTGCACCCTGTGGGGCGGGGGCACTGGCTGGAGGTGACCCCCAAAACCCACCCAGGGTGCCCAGGGAGCACCTCCAGCCCCCCCAGCCCTGCCCGTACCCCTCCTTGCGCCCCTCGATGGGCAGTGGGACGCGGCCGCCCCGGTCCAGGGTGGAGGTGACGTTGATGACCTGGAGGTCTCCGCGCTCCCAGACTCCAGCCGAGCCCTGCAGGAACATCTCCCGCGCGGCCTCCGGCAGCAGCTCCTCCACATTCCTGTTCCCCACCAGGAACTCGCCCTGGTACGGGGGGTCCCCACCTGTGGGGCGACACGCAGCACCCATGGGGAAGCCCCTGGGCCATCCTGTGGGGTATCCTGGTGCAACTTTGGGGTGCCCAGCCCTCACCTGGGGCAGGGATGACGGTGATGACGAGGCGCTGGGACACCGTGGCGTAGGTGCGGCGGTTGTAGGCCAGCACCTGCAAGGACAGGGGACACCCCTGAAGATGTCACCCCTTCCTGTGCCACCCCAGAAGCAGGGGGTGTGAGGGTGGGCACCTACCTCGATGGTGTGGGTGCCCACCTCGCTGGCCGTGGGGCAGCCATACAGGTAGCCGGGCTGGCAGGGGTCCCGCTGGAGGTACCGCAGCCACCGCGGCAGGTCCGGGTGGTCCCGCAGGTGGGCTTGGAAGGTGATGGGGGCTGCTGGGACACACGGGTGGGTGGGGATGGACACACACATGGGTACGGCACAGGCTGTGATGTGGGTGGACCCCCCTGCCTGAGAACTCCTTCCCCGTCCAACTGGTCCCCACAAGGAAACAGGGATGGTCCCTGGGGGTCCTGATCCCCCAAAGGGAGGGAACCCCCAGGGGAGGGGACACTCAATGATGCTCTGTGAGGATTGACACTGCCCAGGGGGTCTCAAATGGGTGGAGGGTGGAGAGGGAGGGATGGAGGGTGGGATGGAGGGTGGAAAGAAGGGAGGGATGGACGATGGGTTGGGATGGGGTGGGATGGGATGGGATAGAAGGATGGATGGATGGATGGATGGATGGACGGATGGATAGATGGATGGATGGATGGATGGATGGATGGATGGATGGATGGATGGATGGATGGATGGATGGATGTTTACAGGACTGGATGGATGGAGGGATGGATGGACAGATGGCCCAGCTGGGGTGGGGACTGGCAGGGAGGATTATTCAGTGCCCCCATCCCCCCAATCCTCCCATGCTGGCCCTTACCATCATCATCCTCACTCCCGGCGGGAAAGGCCTCCTGGAACAGCTCCCGCTCCAGCTCATGAACGAAGATAGTTCCAGTCTCGGAGGAGATGCGGTGGTCAGGGAGGACGTGGTGGTCGGGGAGGGTGGCCTGGGACACCCCCAGGGCCATGGCTGTGACCACACACAGGGCTGGGGCCGAGGCTGGGGACACACGGCCCTTCCCTGCCCTCCCTTCCCTCCCTTCCGGAGACCCCAGGACAAGCCACAGGTGCCCACAGACCCCCTGGGACAGAAATGTGTTCCTGCAGTGTCAGGTGTCCCAAGGCAGTGGAGTGGGGATATATTTAGGAGAGGATGGGATAGGGACAGGGACAGGGACAGAGATGGGGACAGGATGGTGGCAGGGACAGAATGGGACCAGGGATGGGACAGGATGGGGACAGGGACAAGATAGGGACAAAGTGGGGATGGAGTCAAAGATGGAGATGGGAACAACAACAGGAAGGGATGAGGACATGATGGGGACAGGGTCAGGGATGGGGCCAGCACCTTCCCTTTCCCTGGCCCTGTCACGCTGAGGTCCCACTTGCTGTCCCCTGCCCTGTCCCAAACCCAGCTGGCATCTGGGACAAGACAGCTTTATTTAGCTCTGTCACGTCCCAGCCCTGTCCCCACGTCCTCTCCCACTTACACCCCCCGCGCCCACCCTGCTCTGGGGGTCCCCCCCCGCCCTCCCTGCCGGGGGTCCCCCAAGCCCAGCCGTGTCCCCCCGGAGGGGGTGACAGGGCTGTCACTCGCCTGCCAGCACCCAGAGCCGGAGCAGCTCGGGCACCTCCATCTTGGCCAGCGCTGGGAATGGGGCCAGGGCTGATTGACAGAGGCAGCAGGGGCTGCCCAGGACGGGAGGGCCCTCCTGGGGGGGGTCCCACAGGGGACACCCTGCCACAGCCACCTCTTGCCACCAAGGCACGGAGCACTGGGGCTGCCGAGGGCCTCCCGTGTCCCCTGGTGGCATCCGTGGGGTTTCCCCTGGGTGGGCTTGTCCCAGTGCCCCACTGAGGGTACTGGGGTGGCAATGAGAGGACGGGATGGGGAACACTTGGGGATAGCCCCCACCAGCATGGCCACCACCACTGCCCTGCACACGTATGTGGCACCAGGATGGGAACATGTGTGTGCACATGCGTGGGTGCGTGGGGACAGTGACATGGGTGGAGGGCACTGGGACAGCAGGGGGTGGCACTGATGGGGACCAGACTCTGTGGTGGGGCTTGGGGGGGCAGGTGGCAGTGGCAGAAGGGGAAGGGGGTGGTCATGGGGGGGATGTTGCAGCATGTCACGCCTCGTCACGCCTCGTCACGCCTTGTCACGCCATGTCACACACAAAGGGTTGGGAGATGCCTTGGGTGACAAAGGGGACACACACACATCTGCAGGGTCCTGCTGCCCCAGACTGGGGGTGCAGGGGTGCCCCCCACCCTGCCCTCCACCCCCTCGGGGGGCTCCTCACACAGCAAGGACCCCCAGCACAGTCATAGGCTGTCGTGTCTGCCCCTTCCCTACCCCCCAGTGGGAAGACAAGAACCCCCCAAACAGCCCCCCAAAATATCCCCTGGCCTCTGCAGGAATGAGGGGAGCAGCACCGTAGCCCCCCCTCTGGGACCCCCTGCCTCAGTTTCCCCTCCTGCCACCCCTGAGTGGAGGTGTCAGAGGGGATGTGCAGCACCCCCAGGATGGATTTAGGGGGACAGAGAGTAAATGGGGGACACCACGGGACACCTGGAGGTGGGGGGTGCTTTGGGCATGGGGGTGTGGAGGTCCCAGGGAGGGGGATGAGGGGGACATGTGGATAAAGCTGAGGGGACACAGGGAGAGGAGCAGGAGGACACAGGGACAGACCCAGGAAAGGCATGGGGACAGGGTGGGGGAATGTGGATAGAAATTTGGGGGGACACGGGGATCAGATGGAGGGATGTAGGTATGAACTGGGGGGGG